CACAGTGTTCCCTTGACCATCATGAGTCAATCCCTCTCAAACTCCACCACAGGATTTAGTGTAAAACACCGGTTCATCATATCAATCAGTGCCATTTGAGTTTAGTTAAGAATCAAAAGGAAGAATACAGAAATAAAATAGAGTGTAATCAGTGGGACGCACAATGGCACAGTACTCATTCAGTAAATGCACAGCTAAACAGTGTTTTGAGTCTGGATTTGAATGTGATAGCACATCTGATGTGCGGCTGGTATAATAGCTAAAAGAGGACTAACCAGACCGCATTCTGCACTGGTTTCGTACACCGTTCAGTGGATGTGCCTGACTGCAGTCTAGATCTGTCTCTTACTGAAAATGAATGGCCAATCATGAAAAGGTGACGACCACAGACTGTTGAGCAGCTGTCGTGTATCAGACAAGATTGAGCAAAAATTCCTCTTTGCAAAACTGCAACAATTATATCCTCAACTCCTAAACGATTAAACAATGTAATTAAAAGGAAAGGTGACGTGACACAGTGGGAAACATGCCTCTTTCCCAACTCTTTTGGAGTGATATAGTGATATAAATATTCTTATATTTACAAAATGCAATTAAATTGGTCAGTACAAAACTACTTGTACTTTTACACAAAAGTTTGTTTTTTGTCAGTTAAATAAAGGTTAAAGAGAATTAACAAATGACAGATTCTTGATTAAATTGCATTCTATAATATGTTCCAACTTTTCTGGAAATGGGGTCGTATTTAATCAGATTAATATTCAGCTATTACTTATTTTCCGGTAATAATGTTCTTTAAAGCACTATTAAAACTTTCAAATCATTAAAAAGGTTTCTGCTGTGATTACAATCCATAGAACCCTAACCTGGAACTTTTTCAAACCATTTTTATTAAAAAAAACTATAAACCATTTTATTTAATTTTTTATTATACTATATTTGAAATGATTTTTAAGCAGGCTCGGACTCTATAGGTGGAAAAGTGAAAGACTACATACTGCATTCAACATAATAAGAAAAGTGCAGGATCAATTCCCAGGCATTACGAGTAAAATAGGCCTATATTTCCCCTCATTCCCCCCGGTTTCATAGAGGTTTCAGTGACTAAAATGCATGTTTGAGCTTTTTTTTTTTAAAGCAACTTGCACTGATACATCTTAAAATATGTCAGTTCCATTGTTTTGTCTCAAGATGCACGTAATGTTTTTTTTTTCTAAGGTACGTTTATAAAAGCTACTTAAACCTCATAAACCTTGCTTAATCTAAGCCCTGTCTGTGAAACCAGGCCTTTTTTACTTTGTGTGTACTGTAACTTATAGCCTAAATAAAAAAGCAAGAACTGCTATAGAGGTTTTAAGTTATTTAGAAAGAACTCAGAAAGCAACATATAATTTGCTTTTACCTTTTACTTATTTGCAAGTGTATTAAGACGCCTAGCTAGCACAAACCACTGAAGACATCTTGCAGCACACTTGGCCAGATGATCTAAATGCATGAAATATCTCTTCTGATAGGCCTAAAGTCCCTCTGATGGTGTGTGTGCATCCGCTCGGTGTCCAGCCGTAGCCTGGTGAGCACAACCATAGGTCAAGTTGTAACTAACAGCATCCACATCACGTGTAATCACATTTGTGGAGAGTGGGGTAAGATGAGCCAGTGGTAAGTATCTCGGCAACTGTATACTTGTATTGTCATGTGTCCTTGTATTTTGAACCCACCCATCATTTCTGCCAGACTGTGAACAGGAGAAGCACATGGGAGGAGTGGAAGGCACTCATTTACTTTAAAAACATGAAAAAGTCAAATGTGAGCTAACAGATGAAATGCCTGTTACATCAAAGCAAATTTATCCAGGTCTAAAATATTAAGCAACATATAAAACCATGCAAATCATTTAGCTAAACATTAGCCTGAATTGGTGGTCTTGGCAGCTATGGGGCAAAGTGAACCAAATGATGTGGGGTAAATTGAGCCATCTTTTTTACTTACCCCACCATTAGGCACTGAAGTTAAAGTAAATCTCTGAAGTATACGCTGGTATAATTTCAATGTTATGCAACTGGTTTAGTTTATTGATTGTTTGTTTGTTGTTGTTTCTAGTTTATTTGATAGGGACTGTGTACAAGTACAAATCCTTCTCTGATGAGAACCAGAAGATGCTTTTCACCATAATCATATATATCTTTCCACCTGTCCTAATGGCCAAACATGTTCGACATTGCCAAAAAGCAACCATGCCAAGAATCTTTTGACTAAAATGTGTATTAACATTTAAATATTCATTCTAACTACATTTTTAATGTTATTTTAACAAACTCGCTGTTAGTCTATTTTTGGAAAGGTTGCAACTTTGGTGGTCAACATATTGTTTTAGAAATGCATAAATGAAATATATTTAAATTTAAACTTCATTTAGTTAGTTTTATATTTGTTATAGCTTTAAGAAAAAAAATGCATATTTGTAAAAGGAAATTTGATTATTAAATTAGTTTACTTATTAAATTAGTTTTTAAAAGAGGTAAATTATCTTTAAAAATTCACATGGGTTTGAATCAGATTAATTTACTAGATGGTGCAACTTACCCACTGACTCAACTTACCCCTATAACCTGGGGCAAATTGACCCACAGGAAACCCCTTTTTTAGAATAATTTGTCATAGATGCATTCTGAAGATTTAAAATGATAGGAAACATCCTGAATTTAGACTAGCCTACTTTACATACCTTAATTGTAAGCCTACTTCTGCCAACCCGATCACACTAAATGCGTCTCTATAGCACGCATTGTGTTTATCGTGCAATTTATACGCGAAAATGAGTTTTTACGTGCATATGATACGCAAGGGTAGGTTTAGTATCAATAAACAATTGCCATAATCATTTATTTAATAAAATCCAGAAATGTTTAATTTTCATGTTTAGGGCATTTTGGTGAACCCAATTTCTCAACTCTTGCATGCTGGCGAAATTTCGACCAAGGTCAACACATGTAGTCTAAATATGGCGGTTAAGATATATATATATATATATTTTTTTTTTCCAGACCTTTCAGTCGCGTTGCTGTGTATTCAGAGGGCGCGTGCTCACACATGCTGGAAAGCGTGTCTAAATCACACCTCAGTGCAACAGGCGCTCAAGTGGCGAATGTTTCCACGTGCCCATCTGCCCTGTCCTGCTGTCCTCCAGCAGGTGCGAACTTCTACATTTGACTAATTGCTCGACGGTTCGTCATCAGACAGCAGGGATGCATATCAGTAACCAACAGTTGAATCCCAATGGTTTTGCACTGAACAAGATTCCTCAAACACTTTGCATCTTCTGCATACAAAGCAACTTCAACGTCCGATTTCCGTAAAAAGAACAATCGAGGCGACCTGAGAAAGTTTCACATAGGATTTCCTCATCTTGGACCCTAGGCATTCATAACTTGTGGAAATCCTGTAGTTTAGACATTTATTTGGTCAATTATGAGTTTTGTAACTCTTAAATTATCGATTGGTGTTAGTTTATCTTTATGATTAGATTGCAATGAAAAGCGCGCGACCGTTTGTCCACAGACCTCACGCCATATTCACTGTTAAAAAGACGTGTTAAAAGAATCATAATGCTAATGGAATTATGAGCGAGGTGTGTATGATGCCACCACTTTACTTGACCAAACAGTAAACTTTCCCACGGGATTTTCCATAAGGTTAGACTTGCATGGGGTCAAAAAGTGAAGCAACACATATGGCCAGTTAAATAATTTTAGTATTGTCAATTTAGGAAGAGCAAATATCCCTTTGACGTTAGCCTCATTGGTGCGCATGTGCATGAAAACCAAGTGGCGTTTTGCAACATCTAATCTCCTATTTGCCAGCACCGTTGTGTAGACTTTCGAATTATGAATTGTTTCTTTGTTTTAAATGACACGCACTCTGGAAAAGCAGAAACTCACGTAGGCCTATTAGCGTGAGCTTTAAAAGTTGTGCTCGAACATCTATTTCTATTTTATGCATATTAAATCGCACATTACAAGTTCAGCTCAACAATATGTTTCCTATATTTGGTGTTTACTGGTTTCTGCAGACCGACAGAGCCGAAAGTTGACCCGCTTCAGGTGCGAAGGCCATTAATGCACGGAGATGTTGAGCATCGCCTCTGAAACGTTGAGTATTCTAGTCTGGCGCTGTTAGTGTGAGTGTGTTCGTTTTTACACATGTGTAGTGCCATAATATTCTGTTCCCACGAGAAAAACTGAAGTCTCCCATCGCACTTACACGGCTTTGGTTTTACGAAAATCTGCTTGAAAACAAAACATTTTAGTGAGAAATTAATCGAAGACCAACATTAGCTATCAATACTGAACAAAATATTTGTATTATATCATTTGAAGTTAGAAAATAGACCGCTTATCGTGAATTATATTAATAGCATATAGGCCTACGCGAGTTTTCATAATAAAATAGGCTACAATTTTGTTTTAGAACATTAGGCTAAACATTAAATTGTTTGGTGGGGAAAAAACTAAGTTTGGTTTTGGTTGGTCAGAGGTCGTGAACTTTAACGGGAGGAGCGTGTTGGTAAATTGAGTGTCAAGAAGATTGTGTTCAAAATAATGCACTGCATTTGGCTCTGTATTGACTTATTGGCGCAATAAAATTTACAAACGAGTCCATAAAAGCATAAGCGTTCTATTATGATTGGTTTTTCTAAGCAAACTTCTAATGGCATTTAAGATATGTGCAGTTTTCATTACCATGCGTTTAATATTCAAATTATATTATTATATTCAGATAGATAGGCTATTCGTAAAACTAAAGCTGTGCAAGTGATGGGAAACTTCAGTTTTTCTCGCTTAATATCCACTGTTACAATTGTTCTTTGATTTAACCTAATCGATTTATAGTTTCTTATCTTGGAATATATTAAAAGGGTAATTGATAACAGGAGAAAGCCATAAGGGGGGCACGACCATACGGTCACGCGTCATTGACACCTCGTCACCACCAATGACAAGCCAGCATCCCCAATAAAGGCCAAGGTTCGCGAGGACTTTTTTCACAGTAGAAGAATTTTCTCAAGCAACACAGAAAAACGGAAATATATACGATTGCCGGTTTATTTCATAATCTTCAACAGAGCATGGTTACTCCAAAAATGGCAAGTCGACGACCAACCAAAAGAGTGAGTAGCCTATTTCTTTCTTATGTCATAAAGGAGTGTTAGAATTTCGGAAGTTTATCTTTCTTTTTAAAAAAAAAAATGGTTTTACGCTTTAAATATATGGCTAAATTAAATATATATTTTGTGCTCCGTCTAGATCTTGAAACCGGTTATCGAGAAGAAACGGAGAGACCGGATTAACCAGCGTTTAGATGAGCTGCGAACGCTTCTCCTGGATAACACTCTCGACACGGTAAGAAAGGAAATCCAGTTTTTAATATTAACATGAGCACTAGAATGTTTCAACAACATAATGCGTTTACATTCACTTTTACAGCGACTTCAAAACCCCAAACTGGAGAAGGCTGAAATTCTGGAATTAACCGTTGAATACATTAGGACAAAAGCTGCGAGAATTAGTCGAGGTAAGATTTCTGTCTATACTTTATTAATTGAAGAGTAAACGTTTACCCATATTTTATATCTTAAAATGATATTATTGACCTTATTTGTGTGTAGGCTAGCTCTAGATTAAAGGGATAGTTCACCCAAAAATGAAAATTCTGTCGTCATTTACGCACCCTCAAGTTGTTCCAAACCTGTATGGATTTCTTTCTTGTGTTGAACACAAAAGAAGATATTTTGAAGAATGTTGGTAATCAAACAGTTGACTGCATTGACTCCCATAGTAGGAACAAAAAATACTATGGAAGTCAATGGCTAGTCAACTGTTACACCAACATTATTCAGAATATCTTCTGTGTTCAGCAGAAGAAAGAAATTCACACAAGTTTGGAACAACTTTAGGGTGAGTAAATGACGACAGAATTTTCATTTTTGGGTGAACTTTTCCTTTAAGTGCTGATTTTATATTTGTGTGATGATTCTAATAGATTGTATGTCTCTGTCTCCTCCCCCTCCCTATTTATCTTCTCTTTCTCAATCATCTAACCCCAAAATAACTTACCTCACACTCTGGCTTTCCATTCTGGGAATCAATAAACCAAAACCCTTTTCTTACTCCTAAATGTTCCTTTAACTTTGCTTTAAATTCTCGATTTCTCAAACGTTCCTTTTGAATGAACCTTCAATTACGACCATAAATCAAAATCTAATTTTATTCTATCTCACCTAAACACTCTATTAACCCCTTCCTCTTCTTGCTTCTTGCCTTTCTTCTCCTCTTTTGTACACCTTTAACTCCACGTCCCACCTCAGGCGACTCTAACAAAGACCCAGACCCACACGATGGGAGCGCTCCGACTCTCTCGTCGAGACCCCGTGTGCGTTTCGCTTCAGTCCCCGAGCCCATCAATGCCCAGACACCGATGCCTTCCAATCCAATCTACAAAGCAGGCTTTAAGGAGTGCGTCTCCCGCCTGGCCAGCTTCATCGACTGTGTGGATCCTTCACAACGGGACGGTTTCGTTCAAGGCCTGTGTCACCACCTCGACTCCTACAGCAACGCTCTTCCCCAAAGCAGAGTTTCCAGCAGCCAAGCTTCCCATCATCATCATCATCATCATCATCCATGGATCCCCAATGCAGAGTTGACGTGCAGATCAGACGTCCCAATGAGAGCCAACACTGAGCCCTTTTCCTACACCAATAGTTTGTATCCCACATCTTTTATGCTCCACCACCCTCATCCCACAGGACAGCCCATAACACATCCCTACCTTTCCCCTCCATACTCCATCTCTCCTCCACCTTCTCCTTGTTATTCAAGCAGCTCTCCTCCTTTCTCCAGCTCTCCCACATACGTCTCAATACCCTGCCATTTCCCTTTCCCTCCCACCATCTCACCACTCTCCAGCGACTCTTCATCATCATCATCCTCTTTCAGTCTCCCAACCCCTGTAGTCCCAGGTCCTCATCTCCAGGTCTCTGTGGGATCCCCAACTCCAGTGCGACCCACTGGCTCCGTTCCCTCCAGCCAACCCCGGACTCTGAGACGAGCTCTGTTCCACAACCAGACACACTCTCTGTGGAGACCCTGGTGAGCAGAACTCAAAATACTTAGAGACTTAAAGCTCAGCAGTGAGCAACATCTTCCCATCAGAGTTCCCTGGGCTTCACATGGAAAAGACATCAGGAATGCACATGGAAAGGTGAAGGTGAGAAACAGCTCTGTGATGATCTCGGCTGTGTTCATGTATGTGCTTCTGCATTCCCACTGTCACATTCCTTTATTCTGCATACTGTTTTCCTATCTAAAATTCTTTATTGTGTACAAATTGTGTAAATATATTTATTTTGTCCCTATTGTACATTGTATAAATTAATTGTGCTTTTTTCACTTATTAAATCTATATAATTTTGTTAATTTGTATGACTCCTCTTTATACACACACTCTTTATACACACACTATCTATTTACAAAAAAATATTTTTTTTTTCTTGGGTCATAATGTCAGCAATAAATTTATAAACCAAGACAAATTGCCATCTGCTGGTCAAAAACACTGTTCCCATTTATGTGGTGACCTGATTTCTGGGGGTCATTTTCAGTGAAATATCATTTATTATCTATGAATTAAAAACAGGGACTTTTAATTTGTATGTTATGGGTTCCATATAGGCTACTGTTATTGTAATATTTATGATGATGTTTGCTGGTCCAACTGGTTTCACCAAATATCACTATGAAAACATATTGAAACAGCTAAAATTATAACTTTGCAAAAACACAATGTAAAAATAAATATGAGAACATAATACTGTATTTAATATATATTTTAAAAACATTTTCTAATTGGATTTAATATTTTCACAAACTGAATATTCTATGAATATACTGTAAATATGACCTATAGTAATTACACCTTTTTTTTTTCAAATGTTATTTTATGTTTGTGCTTTTTGTAAATGGACCTCCACCATCCCTAATAGGCTTCTTTTGCATCTTAGGCACATTTTGAGCACTAAGCATGTGTTTTTTGCAAATGTAATTAAGTCTAATTGCAAATGTCTAATTGGTTGAGTTTTTTTTGTTTTGTTTTGTGCAAAACAATCCCACACCCTGTCCAGGCCCTGTTATATAGTGCATGCAAACAATATTACATTGAAAACTATATTTGTCTCTTTGATATTTGATTATAACAGTGCTTGCTCAAGTCTCGTCGAAAGTTCGTCATCGCTGGTGTTTACGTTGCGTTGGTACAACTACCTTGTAACCAATCACGTCAACGGACAGGCAGGCTTTCATTAACTATATCATTAACTATACGACCGCTCTGAAGCAGTGGAGTAAAGAGAAAGTCAGGTTATCCTGGTGTATTTTTAGTTGATATAAAAAATCAGGTAGCCTACATTTAGCTGACATGGTTTGTGTAACATTTATGTAGCAGCTTTCCTATAAGCCCAGGAAAGGTGGTACGGTGTTCTTAACGCATAAACAATGTCCACACAGCGGTATCCGTTTGAACAGTTTGTTGTCCATTTAATGAGATGTATGTTACAGAGTTTAAAAGGCATTGGTTCTATGCTAAGAACCATATATTCCCTTCCTGATTCAACCCCGTTTATAAATTGAGATTGAACCGGATTGAACATGTGTGGCTTTCACCTGCGCCACTGGTGCACACCGCCATCTAGTGGTTGAACAAATTACATTTGGCTCCTACAATTAATAACATTATTAGCTGTTTGATAAAATAGTCAAGCAAAAGGCTAATCATATTAATTACCGTTATGTGTCCGACGTTGTAGAGAGCGATACATAAAATGCATTACCATTCTGGTACGATGAGTGAGTGGAGGCGGGGCTCATTTGAATATTCATTGAATATTCTGTGTATACTATATGAAGCAAGGATAGAGTTACATTCGAGCTTTAAGGCATGAATATTTTTTTTCACAGGAAAAAAACGTTGAAATATCTCATTTTGGTGATCAAAGATGAGTTTTAAGGGATCAAATTATTGACTATAATTGAACCCGCGTAGGCCTACTTCATTGTAGCTCGCACATCCCCTCTGTTGGTGAAAAATGATCATTACTACACGACTGTTCTGACAACCAGCAGTCTGATGTAAGTCTGGCTTTCTGCACTGTATTTTGCGGTTTGGTTTGAAGGTGCTGTAAAATGCGGACATTTCGGGACAGGACTCCAAAAACCGGGACCTTGACCTCTGGTCTAACATCTAACCCCCGAAAAACGAAAAATGCTGCAACAATTGTAACATTATTACACCATACTAGATTTGTTTTACGCCTCACGTGATGTATTACTTATGCATGTTCGTAGCTTGGAGATAAATGGCAAATTCCAAACGGAAGTGATATTCCCTACTCCCTTCGAAGGACAGAGCCCTAGTGTGGACTTTGGAGTGAGCATGGCACTGTAGTTTAAAGGTGCATTGTCTAATATTTAGGAGGATCTGTTGACAGAAATGCCATATCATAAACATATTGTTTTCAGTGGTGTATAAAGATCTTACATAATGGACCGTTATGTTTTTATTATATACCTCAGAATGAGCCATTTCTATCTACACACAGCACGGATCCCCTTACATCGACATGTTACAGGAGCCCTAAACGGACAAATGCATTTCGTCACTATGTGGTTCTTCGTGCAAATAAGCTAGCTAAAGTCAGCGAATAAAACACTGACACAATGATCAACAAGTAACAATAATATTCCCAATATCGTTTTACTGAATAATTGAGTAAACACAATTTCTTAATAATAATAATAAACAGAGAAATCCAAGAGGGTCCTCACACTATCGGTGCTCGGGCCCTAATTAAAGGGGTGGTTCAGAATTTTGGACATCGGGCCTCATTTCCAAGTTAGCCTTAGTGTTATTTATCAGTGGAGACAGTTTTCAAAAAAATTCATCCAGTCCTTCCAGTTGCATAGTTCGCCGGTGCTAGGCTAGCGCGAGTCAACGGTAACTGCTAGCCTGCCATTAAAGACAGTTTTACCCACTCCACAGTTCACCAAAAGCAAATAAATTGTAACGCCAGACTATCGATGTAAATGTCTGTTAAGAGAATAATGTTAAAAATCAAACTAGTTATTTTGAAGTTACGGTGGCCGACAGGGAAAGTGGCGTCGTCTGAGATAGCAGAGAGTAGCCAGTTAAGCAGTGAGGTTTCTTTACAAAGATAAATTAAGAAATTAGATTTACTCAATTATTCAGTAAAACGATGTGTTTATTGTGAATATTATTGTGACTTGTTCATCATTGTGTCAGTGTTTTATTCGCTGACTTTAGCTAACTTCTTTGCACAAAGAACAACATAGTGACGAAACACGTTTGTCCGTTTAGGGCTCCTGTAGAAACATGTAAGGGGATCCGTGGTGTGTGTAGATAGAAATGGCTCATTGGTAATAAAAACATAACGGTTCATTAAGGTCTTTATACACCACTGAAAACATCGTTATGGAGGCCTAGCCTATATGATATTGGATTTCTGTCAACAGATCCTCCTAAATATTACACAATGCACCTTTAACTGGCTACTCTCTGCTGTCTCAGACGACGATATCTTTTCGCTTTGAAGCTTCAAACAGTATTGTAAGGTTGGGACAGCTGGTTTGAAAAAAATTGCCGCTTCACGAGAATCGCGACCTCATCTGATGCATAAAAAGGGAAATGAATATGAAATGATGACTTCCCTATAACATAATTTCAGAGGTGTAAAGTCCAGGTTCAGAAAGTAAAAGTCCTCCTCAGTATTTTGTTCCAATCACACATTTAAGCTTTGTTAACCAATTTTTCGGCCTTCAAACGTCTTTAAATGCATAGGCCTGTAGGCTATATCAGAGAAATAAAACTTTTCCATGGGAGACCCTGATCCCACTTCAAATTTGGGACCTCTGTGATTATAAAACCCTGCCAATGGCCCTGACTTTATGGCATTTCTGGAAATCCATTCTTGACCGTCATATGTCCAAGTTCATTTCCCCCTCACAGCTTTTACTTTAACAGGGCAAACTGTCTGTGAACTATGACGTGAGTTGTTAAAACAGTTATAGGAGTGTATTTTTAATCTATATGTATTGTACTTATATCTGTGCCTTTGAATAATACGCAAATGTGCTGTGACTACAAATCCTGAGGACTACAAATCCCAGTGGCTCGATCGGGTATGCCCTGCACAGCAACCACTCGCGGGGGCGGGAATCAAATGCTTCTGTTTGTATCTTAAAAAAGCAAGCAAACACGGAAGTAAATGCTATAGAAATAATCAGTCATCAGTTGCAGAATGTGCATTTTAGGATACTGTCTGTCAAAATGTCGTTTACTTGCATGCTGGATAGAAAAGCTATGGGGCGTCTTGTTGCTTGCCTGTGAGGAAGTGTGCAGAGTGTAAACGTGTAAACAACAGCCAAAAACACATACGAACAAAACCGCCGTCTCATTGTAATGGAATAAAGTGAAACATGCGTCATATACGGGAAGTTTAACGAGGTCGCTGCACAATTCATGATGTCCGTTTAATAAAGTTGACTTTTATGCGCAGGCACATACCTAGGGCACCTATAAAGAATAATCTAGGCTAATCCCGCCCCTCTACATTCAATGATTGGACAGTGAAACGAAGGTTTCCGGAAAACCGGTGTGCTATTGGCTGCTTTAGCTGCCTATTCGCGACGTCATCAGGCGTTCGAAATATATAAAGCACCGAAAGCCCCGGTCCTCTCAGTGTGATTCTGCAGCTCATTAGTTAGTTCATCCGAGTGATTTAGCCGAACAGTTAGGGTTTAGAAAACTATCATTGTGATCAGTACCTCCACACAGCTTTGCTGATATTCTAAAATGGGGTTCGTTCGTATATAAGCTTTATTTTTAAGGGGTGTGTCCTCTGAACGTATTGTTTTGAATCTGAATCTGACGTCAGCGGACAGCTGTGTGTATTAATGCACTGGTGTTTTCAGTGCGGGATGTGCAAGGACAGCTGTCGCTAACACTGACCAAGCTGTTGTGGGTTTTTCTTTCGTCCGCTGGAGAGGGAGGCAGGCATTGGGCTGTGTACCTTTAAGAGAGGGCGGAGAGAGTTAGAGCCCCGGGGCTGTGTGCTGAACACAGTACTGATCCTGTTTAGGTATCTTTTCCTTTTTTCTCTTCTGTTTTTTCGTGTTGATTTTTACTGTGCTATGTATTATTCATAAATGACGCTTGGAGGCGGAGTTTAGACACAGTATCAGTAATAACAGCAGTGTCGAGACGAGAGGAGGAGAACTCGCTGACACTGAAGGTGGGTGGACGTTTTGCCAACGTCGACCTAACTTGAACATTTACTTTCTTTATGCACACTTGGCAGATGTTGTCAGGAGCTGACACCAGTTTAACAGGTGTTTCGTCAGGTAACGTTAAGCTTTATGCGTATTTTATGCAAAAAAAAAAAATAATAATTAGTTTTTAGGTTTTATAATTTTAAGTTGTATGAGTGTATTAAGGATTCTTCTATTTAACTTCTGTTAATAACCCATCAGCCCGTTCTTAAGGTTTTGTTGTCATCCTTATCAGAACTTTACTTGTGTTGAAATAACGTTGCTACTGAGTAACGTTAGTTAAAAGAAAGCTTTGGGAGTTTTGAAATAAATCCAGATTTTTTTTTAAATCTTATTGGGAATCATAGTCAGAAACTCTTAAAATATATATATTTTTAGTTCTTTTGGAATCCTGAAAGATACTTTTTATTAGGATTAGTGGTTGACCTATTGTTTTTTCTATATTTGCTTTTGATATAAAAGTAAAATTACATGATAGCAAATAGATAAACAAAAATGCTGAATTTGGATAACTGCTTAATTTGCCCAACATCAACAAACCAAAATCATTAAAGGGTTAGTTCACCCAAAAACGAAAATTCTGTCATTAATTACTCACCCTCATGTCGTTCCAAACCCGTAAGACTTTAGTTAATTTTCGGAAAACAAATGAAGATATATTTTATGAAATCTAAGGGCTTTCTGGCCCTCCATTGACAGCTATGCAACTACCACTTTGACGGTTCAAAGCGTTCATAAAGAGGTCGTAAAACTAATCCATATGAATTGAGCGGTTTAGTCCAAATTTTCTGAAGAGACACGATTGCTTTATACTGTATGATGAACAGATTGAATTTAGGCTTTTATTATGATATAAACATTTATCAACTCACACATCAGTTGTGGTAAACAGAAGCTCAAGCATGTTAACTTGATTACACAGGACGTGTGAGCTTCTGTTTATTTTAGCTGATCCATGTTTATTTGCGAGAAAATTTGGACTAAACTGCTCAATTCATATTGATTAGTTTTATGATCTTTTTATGAACTTTTTGGTAGTTGCGTAGCTGTCAATGGAGGAAGAGAAAGCTCTCAGATTGATAAACGAAAGTCTTAGGGGTTTGGAACGAGGGTGAGTAATTAATGACTGAATTTTCATTTTTGGGTGAACTATCCCTTTAAATAAATTGGACCTGAACTAGACAGAATCATTTCAATAAATCTGCCAATTGCACAAAATCGCAAAAACCAGTACTACTGGTATACATCGTCTGACTGAATTATTAGACTGTCACTTATTAGAATCCTTTAGGATTGGATAGCCAAATATTGAAATTCTTTTGAGTATGTATGGTAGTTATTAGTAGTTATTGCATGTTCACATGGACTTGTGGATGATTGCTTTGTGCTTTCATTTCAGATCCATGTCTTCTCCAGCTTCAACCTGAAAAATGATAGAGATGTCATTTGACAAAGGAACTGTTTTATCCTGTGAGGGCCAAACAGACCCCACTTCCCAACAGCACTCAGAACTTACTAGAAATGTTTCCAGCATTGACGATCTCCATCCATCTGACAAGACCACAGTTATAAACCTCAGCAAAGAGGGTGGTGAAAAGGCAGGAAGTGATGCATTAGTGGAGCACAGAGAGAAAACCAATGCCACAGATAACAACGCTGCGAGTGACAGTGGGGATGTTGGGATCGAATCGTCTACACAAACCCAAAATGGCACCCAGCAGCCCAAACCTCAACAGCAGAAAGTCAATAAGCGGCGCAACACTATGAGTTCTGGATTCAAACACCCTGGTTATGGTAAACGACGACGCCGTGCCAACTCAGACAGTGAGTCAGTCCTGCCAACGAATTTCCTAATGGGCGGGAACATTTTTGACCCACTCAACCTTAACAGCCTTCTGGATGAAGAGGTGAACCGGGCTCTTAATGCAGAGACACCCAAGTCCTCGCCATTGCCTGCCAAAAACAGAGACCCTGTAGAGATTCTGATACCCAGAGATATCACAGACCCCCTCAATCTCAATTGCCTTAGTGCAGGACATAGAAGTCAGTTGACGTCTCCCTTAAAAGGTAGCGGAGGCAGGCGAAGACATCGAAACAAGCACCATGGAGCAAGCACTGGAGGATGTGGGAAAGGTTTTGGTGAAGGAGTCGCACAGATCGATTTACTCGAGCCTAACGGCTGTGCAACAGTACAAGATGATGGAAAACCAACGCTCCCCTTGACACATTTGCACTCGGGGGTTCAACAAACGTGTTCAAGTGTGGTGAACACCCTTGTTCCTGAGGACCAGACGTTATCGGACTCGACTCTTGAGGCTCAGTGTTCAGATAAGCCCAGTTTAACCACAAATGGCGGTGAGGTGAAGGAGAAAGCCATTGACACCTCAACTGCACCTCCATCTACAAACCCCACCAATGCTCCATCAAACAGGCAGCGCAAACGCAGGCGTGCCGGCGGCAGATTGGAGAACCCAGACAGTGCAAATGAGGTGAAAAGTTGGGGTCAGACTCAGAGATCTGGAAGGCCTTCTCAGGCTTTTCACACGCCAGGAACGGGCTCTCGTACCGGAGCAGCAGAAAGACCACAGCAAAATCCGAACCATTGGAGGCCACAGTACAACAACAGCAACAACCAGCCGAAAAAGAAGTTCCAGTTCGGCAACTATAATAAATACTATGGTTATCGGAACCCAGGTCTGAGCGAGGATCCTCGTATGCGTGTTTTTAATCCCGAGTGGTTCCGAGGGAAGGCTGTGTTGGATCTGGGCTGCAACACCGGTCACCTGACGCTGTCCATCGCCAAAAATTGGCGTCCGGCACGGATTGTGGGCCTGGATATTGATGGAGCATTGATACACGCTGCTCGGCAGAATATACGGCACTATCTCTCTGAGGTCCACACGCAGCAGGCCCGACGTTCTGGGGAAAATGGGGAGGGGGATCGAGGGGAAGGGAGGGAGAGGATGGAAGAAAAGAGTCAGGGGAAGGAGACAGACAAAGAGAGTTTTGTTGTGAAAGAGGATGAGGATGGGGAAAAAACAAAGCATGCGGATAAAGTGAACAAATGCATGGTCGGGGAAGGAATGGAAGTTGGTCGAGAAGAGAAAGGCCGATCCACAGAGGCTGATCAGCGAGGAAAGAGTGGGAAAATGGAAGATGGAGCATTGGTAAGTCTCCCTGATGCGAAGCATTCATTCCCTGTCTCGCTCCGGATCTCAAGAGGACCCATAGCTGGCCCCCCTTTGCCTGAGACAAACACAAACAGTCTCCCTCCTGGAGATTTCCCTGCTAATGTGACCTTTGTCAAGGTAAGACTGAAAAACTCAATTTCTGTTTTTGCTGATTTTCATTTTAGTTAGAATTCATATTTACTTGACTGGTAAGTTTTGCTCTAAAGCTGTATCGAGTATGTTTGATGTCTCCTTCAATATACACAGTGTAAAATTGAGCTGAATAACGACACTATTGTCCTCATAATTGAGGGATTTTGCAACATTAACAGTGTTATTTCCCAGTTTATCACTATCAAGCTGCTTTGAAACAATCTTTACAGTATAAAGTTCCATATAAATAAATTTGATTACTTAAAATTGTTGATGCATTATACATGCACTCTTCACCTAGAACGCATTTAAACACAAATGGTAGAGTAGTGAAAGTGCAATGTTATGCAGTGTATTTCACTAGTCATTCATACTAGTTTTAGCCGTTTACCTGATTTTTACAAAGCCTCCTGTTTAAAGCACACAATTGTGTCAAGAATTTATTTTAATGGTTCAAGCTCAAGTGCTGTAGACACACGTGAACTAGTTGTGTAGCATAGCTAAAGATAAACTGGCATCTTATGATCTAGGTCTTTGGTCTGTCGCCAGGTTCTGCTTGGCTGTGTGTATTTGCTTATGCATACTCATCCCAAGTGCATTAAGCCTTTACCTTGTTAAAAAAAATAACCTTGTAGACTTACAATGATGGAGTGACCCGAGCCACATCTAGAGATGAGAGAGTATCATAGAGATTTGGAGGTGAAAATCCCTCAGAACAACTTACTGACCAAAATAATTTTCAATAGGTGTGGCACAGTAACTTTTAAAATATGTATGTTTGTATTAAAATCCTGTTAAATAATACTGTCTATGTCCGTCTAACCTACACAGGGGAACTATGTGCTGGAAAGTGATATGTTGGTGAAGATACAAAAGGAAGAGTATGACGTGATTCTATGTTTGAGTGTGACAAAATGGGTCCACTTGAACTGGGGTGACGCTGGACTCAAGCGGCTCTTCCACAGGATATACAATCACTTGCGGCCAGGAGGACTCTTCATTTTGGAGCCTCAACCCTGGAGCTCCTACAGCAAGAGAAAGAAGCTCACTGTAAGACCGCTTTTTTGTCAAAACGTCAGTTTTTCTAACCTGGTGTTCTCGAATGTGTGTCCCACGACCACTTGTGTGATCAGATCTCTGATGCATTTACAGTTGCATAAATAATGTTATGAGATTAACATTTTAAAATATGATGTTTTGGATAAAGAAATATAAAACAATAGGAAAAAATAATAATAATAAAACTTCCAGTTGGTGTCCTAATGAGTCACTAAATCATTCACTCAACAGATTCGTTCAAAACGGCTAATCGATTTATTTATGAATTGGTCATTGAATCATTCACTTGCCTGATTCATTTAAAAATGCCTTATTTATTCATTATCAACACCCCACTGAGAGAGTTCTCTGAACTGATTTCATTGTGAATTGAGCAACAACTGGCAATATACTCTGTATAGTATTAACTTGTTTATTGATCTGATGTATGAAATCAGTATCATATTTGCAATCGTGCCGATATTCAGGAGAAACGTCTCTCTTGCTTTGATGATATTGCTAAACTATAATGTATGTAAAAAAAAAAGTAATTCATACAGAGGCACTTTTTTGCCGTTTTATCTTGAATTTTGAGGTATTTTTATGGACCAAAACATTTTAAACTTGACCTTGGAACAGATAAAAATAGTATTTGATGAACTGAGAGGCCGAGAGAAGATCGGATATGGAAAGTCATCTAAACTCTTAAAGGGATAGTTCACCCAAAAATGAAAATTTTGTCATTACTCACTGTCAAGTTGTTCCAAACCTGTATGAGTTTCTTTTTATGAGTTCAACAGAAGAAAGAAACTCATACAGGTTTGGCACAACGTGTAAATAATGACAAAATGTACATTTTTGTGTGAACTATTCCTTTAAAAGCCCTGTAGCAACATTAACAACTAAATGTAGACCATGATCTCCAATTAACTTTAATGAGTTGCAATAATCAGTTTGGGAAATGAGGCGTGTAAAACAGTCTCCATATCTTTAAATGACAAATATAGGTTTTCCAGGTCAGACAGGGACACGGCTAAACTAAAACCATGCCCACAGAATTTATCAAATTTTACAGCTGAGTCAAATATATCACACCAAGACACACTTGAGCAGGAAATTATTATGGTTGCGAAGTAAATTTACCACAAAACATTGTTTTTCTGAAACAAATGCAACAGCAATATAAGACACCAGTGTTCAGTCAGTGTTGTTGATTGCAGGTTAATGGTTTGTAAGGAAAGTTGCAAAATAATACACAATTCAACTGACATGTTCTGAACATGACTTATGGAATTTAAAGCTGAAATGGTCAGACATCTTAAAGTTGGGCACATGTTGTTGTTGTTTAGTCAAATTGTTGTTCGATTTTTCTCAGGAGGACATCTGTAAGAATTACCATGGCATCCGGTTAAAACCGGACCACTTCTCCTCCTTCCTGACCGCTGATGTGGGATTCTCCAGCTATGAGCTCATCGGAACTCCACAAAATTACTCTAGAGGTCAGAGCTTTGAAATGTGGTGACCAATTCCTACCTATGATATTGTGCAGTATATGCTAATATTTATTTATTTTCTTTCCCTTAGGCTTTCAGAGACCAATCTACCTTTTTCACAAAGGACCCTCGCCTCAAAAGTGACACCACCAGTTTGACCGCCAACTTTGAAATCCACAAATTTGAAGATTATGAAAACAACCAGCATTTGAAATCAATGGAACTTTAAGCATTTTCTTTTGAAATTGAGATGAGACTTTCAATATTTTGAACTCATTGGTGCTGAATAAGATTTTATTTTCTCCTTAAATCTCACATTTCCCCCCATCCAGGGACTCTACTGTTGAATTTTAGCCACATATCAGTTTTTCCCTATTCAAACAAGATGATATCTCATAAAGGACGATGAATGCGAAGAAGCACAAAGTTAAATTAAATTAAATCAAATCCCAAGTAAATCCTGTTAAACACCATTTGTTTTTCTTTTGAAATGAAATTCCCGAAAGTGTAAATTCTTGAGCAACTCTTGTCTACACACAACTGGCAAAATTAAAATGTTTGGTGGTTAAGTTTGCTTTTTTTTTTTCTCAAAAGGAAAGAAGCATGTTACAAATTTTCAGTTTTCAGATTTTTCTCTTTTGTTGTTGCTGTCATGTACTTAATATTTTCTTTTAGTTTTGCACAAAACATGGTTATTATCATAGGAAGCTTTTGACATCTGTCTCCCATCAGCCGCTTTACAGACAGACATGGCCGCCACTTCTAGTAACAAAAGCCAATAGCTCAATTTTATAACAGGATCATATTTAGTCCTTGAAAGTTTTGAAGCTGCAGGTTAGCTGATTTGCTATGACAAAGTGTTTACTGATCCAATGTCTCTAATAAAAAGTTCTGTTCTGATTCTCCAACTGTTAAAAGTTTAACAAACTGATGTACATTTTGTAAATTGTTTGTCCAGAGTTCTTGTCACCACTGAGGTAACCTTGTTGTTGTTGTTGGTTTTATTCATATTTAAAAGTTTGCACTAAAACGAGAGAACACATTTGTCTCCCACATTTGTATTTTGATGTGCAAATGTAAAGTTGGTGTATCTCTGAGAAGGGTCCTTTTAATACAAAGGACTCGACGAAATTGAAAAATAAACTACAAAATAACATGTATTAATGCTGGGCTGTGTTTTTTTTATGTATTCAAGACTTAAACATGTTTTCCTAGTTGATTATTCTGTAAATTTGCGTTTAAAATTCAAAAGTTCAAAATTGTGCGAGATAAAATGGCGCATTATGCCAATAACTACATATACTTGTGGAAGACGACTCTACTTCGACTAGTGGGCCTGATGTTATCTGTAATTGGCCAACTTCTATTATCTCAAAAATAATTTGAAGTGTTTATTGTGTAGTATTTTTGTTATTCAATGTTCATTAAAGCATATCAATGTCATTATTCAGGTGTAATTAAATGATCGGCAGTTGAAGCACTGCAGCGATGGATTTGTCACGTGGTTCCTGCTACTTTTCTCAGCGCTCAGCAACCAGAACCAACAGTCGTTTATTATTACGAGATGCGGTTTATTTTTCTTCAATTCATTTTGTAAAGATTCTTTGGAGGATACCATTTGTATATCAGATCCGAGTCATTAGAATTAAAAAATAAAGGATTAATAAAAAATTATACAAATGTGCACTGCAATGACAAAAATGTCCTGAATGCGGCTCGATGGAGAATATCTTGAACTTTCTTGAATATGTGTCATAGGTAAAAGTTTAATTTGCTGCCCGATGACTCAAGCATTGCATACGGAGCAGTGACATTTCACAATAGTGTGCGCTGCGGCTGCTGTACGTAATATTGCTGAAAATAGTCAAATTACAAATCTGTTCCACTGAAACGACCACAAGAGGGAGCACTTTGACAAAAAACGAGGTGTTTGTGTAAGATGATGAGGAAATGCCTTTATCTGGCTATTTTACATATCAAATATTGTATCACATTCATGATTGTAACATTAATGTCTAAAATTTAAATTGCAAATGTAAGCAATTTGAACATATTGCTTAAGATGCATGCATTTAGCCTATAGTAAAATGCTTTTGTGTGAATCTGTTGATCAGCTTTTTGTCTACAGCAATGTGTGAACACATTTCTGACTGCAGATATGTTATGTGCTAAATATTAATGCCCCCAACACGTGTTTGAGCTTGTATGTATGAGAATGTAATTTTGTGATGACAAGCTTGCTATGGGCAACTGTCCTTTTATGGAAAACCTAATATATTAAAACTCATTTTAGAATTAATGTCACTGTTCCTCTCTCTCTCTCTCTCTCTCTCTCTCTCTCTCTCTCTCTCTCTCTCTCTCTCTCTCTCTCTCTCTCTCTCTCTCTCTCTCTCTCTCTCTCTCTCTCTCTCTCTCTCTCTCTCTCTCTCTCTCTCTCTCTCTCTCTCTCTCTCTCTCTCACACACACACACACACACCAATGCATGCAGTTACAACCACACATAATGCACAATAAAGCAAAAGCGTCTGTGCACGTCGTCCACGCATTTCAACAGACACATACATGCACTTATGCAACAGTGAAGGTGTGAAGATGTAAACAGGTCAATCCATTCAAAGACCAACCAATAAAAGCATGTTTTATTAAAAGCAATTATTACTGTTTTAACAACATCCAATGAAAGCATGCACACTCTCTCTCCTTGCACAGTGCCAGTTTTCTACAGTATTCTCTTCCATACACACATTTTACAGTGTGCGCTCCTGCAACATGCATGGCAGCTCTGCACACACACTATTCCACTTCTGTAACTCAAGTGGCATGTGCTGCATGCCTGGCAGAGACAGATGGTTTGGTTTACACACTGTTCAAACACTTCACACAATGATTCTCTTTGTCAAATGTTGTTATCTGTATAGTTGTAAATGTGTGCATCATCGACAACAGCTTCATTGCGACACCATTAACCCTCGGCCTGACATGCCCGTTCACTCACTTTAATGGTACAGTCCATGGTCTTAAAGGTAAAGTGATACATTAAAATGTCTTTTTTTTTCTTTCAAAATTGTGCACATAAAACCCACTCACTGTGCTTTTTGATAAAATGGACATTATCGGTCTCTTCTTCCCCTTTGCTGTTCAGCACTGGCATTTATACAGAGAAAAGACGGAAGTGTTAACACAAAGGCATATAAACAAGCAAATAAGATGACAGTGTCACTAAAAATAGCCTCATATTCTCTCCTCTCTCTCGGTTTTCTCCTGTCTTTTATTTCTGAGAGAAAATAAAAAAATGCATTGTCTCTTTCACGCAGTCTCCCATTCATATCGGGTATTTTCAGGAAAAGCACACTGTCATATTAATCCATTTCTGCAGTGCCAAAACTGCCAAACTCCTTTGCTGTATATAACCAAAGCACACATAGTGCAGCCTAAATAGTGTTTTTTAAAAAGTATGTATAAATCAATGGACTTTTTGTCACACGAACAGTCACATTACATGGTTAATTAAGCAAACGGCTGCATCCGAAATCGCACACTCTCTTGAGTAGGTACTTATTTTGAATGAGTAGCTAATTACATGTTCTATGAGTCTGTGTATGTAGTACGAATGTACAGTATTCTTCATCGCCAGACAACTTGGCGATGTACTACATTCGCCAAGTTGTCATTATCATGTGACCTATACCGAAGTCAGTTCACTGTCATTCACAAATCCTCTCCCGTGGCATCATGGGAAAGTAAAGTGTCCATCGTATGCAGGGAGTAGTAGGTCATCCAGGTACTTTTAGTCTCTTTTTATGAGTACTGTGAATTTGGACATATACTACTCTAGTCACATACTGTTTTTCGCCAGTATAGTAGGGAAGTATGTGAGTCTTTGCCCATTGACCCACATCAGCAGGGGGCGCTGATGAGCTGCAAAACAATGAACTTTTTCTTCTTCTTTAATTCCTATTCTTTCTTTAGAAATGTTCTTTAATATAGAATGCGTTATCATATGATAGTTTCACTGTTCTTTTTAACTATTAACTGCCCATTGATAATACATAATGCTGCTCATTGACAGAAAGCTTACTGTAGCTGAGAAAAAGATGCAAACCAGCAAACAGTTCATTTATTCAAAATAAACAAACTGACTAATCAACCCCAACCAAGAGGATTTAACAAAAGAAAAAGAAAGCTAATGCATGACGGGAAAATGCATACTGATGTTATAGTTAAAAAATAGGCCAATTTGTTGTGTGAACATGCATACGTGCTTAATAACTTTTTGTTCTAATATCATTTTGATACTATTATAGTTTTTATTTTGATTTACAGTAGTTTTATTTTTATATTTTCTGTTTTCCTTACTTAGTTAAAAAGTTAGTCAGTTAATTTTTTAGTAATTTTGTTGTGTTTTTAAAATTTGCATATAGTTTTTATATACAGTAAAAAGAAAATAGGCCAATTTGTTGTGTGAACACGAAAATACCTGCTTAACATTTATTCCAATTCCTCATAAAACAAAAATATTTCTGATGCTATTATAGTTTCTGTTTATTCAATTAATTTGAATTAAAAAGTTAGTTTAAGTAATTATGTTGTGTTTTTAAAATATGCATATACTTTTTTATAAAAAAATAGGCAAATTTGTTATAAACATGAAAATAACTTTTTATTTTAATTCTGCATAACAAATTTCTAATAATGTTAAATATTGTTCAATGATAGTTTCGATTGTCATCACACTAGAAATGGAAGTTCCAGTCATTGAATTTTAAGCAATATTATTTTAGTACCTTTGAGATACTAGTTTTTATATTAATATTTGGATTTTCACCCTTTTTATTATGCATGTATTTGTTTTTAATATTAGGCCTACCGTTTTTTTGTCTTAAAAAATGCATATATATATATATATATAAATGTAATAATTTTTATTTTAGTTTGAATTATTTTAGTACATCAAGTTGCATCTGCAGTGTATGCGGATTCCATGCGTGCACAGTATACGTTTACGGTTGCATACTGTTTCGCATACTACCTTTTTAAGAACGCAGTACGCTTGTATTCCATTGGAACGCTCACTGATTTCACTGCGCTTAAAAAGCAATGGCCACGTGACAACAACCCGGCTATTTACACAGCAACCACTCTGCAGCGTTGCCAAGGCAACGCCATGACAACCAGGGTAGTACCCTCGTTATCTTTTAGCTGAACTAAATTACATTTGCTGCTTTTCTCGTTTTCCCTAACTCTCTTACTTTCTCTCTACACACACATCTTCGCCTCCCCTTCCATCTTTTTACGTCCCCTCCCTCCGTGCGCGCGCGCTCCCTCTCTCTCTCTACATCTTCATCTTCTGCCGCTTCAGTCCGACTCCGTTCCCTCTTTCTTTTCTCCCCCTCTTCGTCACCTCTCGTATCTGTACTCATCCTCCCCTGCCCACCTCCTTTCATCAGCTCGTATCCTCTCTTCCATCTAGTCTTTTTTTTGTCTCTCACCCCTCATCGATACGAACGCGCGTCCTTTCCTCGTTTGCTAAATCCTGAAGCCTCTCTCTCTTTCTCTCTCTCTCCGTCCCACCCCCTTCCTCTTTACGTTCCCCCCCTCCCTCCATACTCTATTTTCCTCAATGCTGAAGTCAGTCAAAAGAGATACGCTGAAGAAAAGCGGGGCGAACGGCGGGCGCTGAGAGAGAGAACGAGAGAAGGAGAGAAGCTGGAGGGAGAGAGGGGAGAGGGGGGAACGGGGGTTTGGATACATCTCCACCTGTCTTCTTCTCTCTGCCATGGACTGCCTCTGCATAGTGACCACAAAGGTAAGCCAATTCATTCCGTCACGACACCAGAAGCTGGGATATGTGGTGTGAGCGCGCGCGAAGTTTATAGCGTTATTCGGTGGTTCTCCTATGGGAGTGTTCCGTTCCCAGCGATATTCATGGATTCAGCACTTCTTTGTTCTTTTGTCTAATCTTCCGCTCTCACTTTCTCTCTCATCCGAGCTCGTATTTTGAAATCAAATTCCTGCCTGTTTCTAATAGGAGCATCGTGTATTTGCATTCCCTCTCTTGCCTCACTAACGTTACGCGTTTTTTTTTTTTTTGCGCGCGCATGGACGCGTTCAAAAAAACTGGAGGCAACGCAACGGAGACGCGTTTTTTAAAAGTTCAACTTCTTTTTACCTGACTCACTGAAAAGAAAAAAGAAAAACCCAGCAAGACGCCACTAAACTGTCAAAGAGGTCCATCTAAGCGTGTGTGTGTATACAATAATTGAACAATAGCGCAGCGGAACCCAAGAACGCGTCTCGTGTGAACGGAGTTTGAAACTGCAGCTCGTGCTCAATGTGGTGCTGCAGTGTCAGAAATTAACTATGTATATATTTCCCCCCTTTAATTTTTATCTGGACATTGATTCTTAGTCTAACCATATACAAACACTTAATTTAGTTCCGTTGAATCAAACAAATGAAATAAATTCTCAGTCTGAACACTTCTGATGGTTCAAATGAACATCAAATAATAAAGTAGCTGCAAAAGTGCTGTGTACTGCCTACTTGTACTGTACATTTTAATGGCTCGCTGTTTTAAAGGGATAGTTCAGCCAAAAATGAAAATACTGTCATTAATTTCTCAACCTCATGTAGGCCTATTTCCAAACCCGTAGATTTTCGTTCATCTTCAGAACACAAATGAAGATGTTTTTGATGAAATCTGAAAGCTTTCTGTCCCTCCATTGACAGCTAAGCAACTACCACTTTGACGCTTCAAAACGTTTATAAAGAGATCGTAAAACTAATCCATATGAATTGAGCGATTTACTCCAAAATTTTCTGAAGACTCGATCGCTTTATACGACGAACAGATTTAATTTAGATTGTATTCACAAATAAACATTGATCAGCGAACATAATCAGATGCTTAACCGAACCTGCTTTAAGCACGAGAACGAACCTCATTGGTTCTCACACGTCAAGCGAACATGCTTGAGCTTCTGTTTACCACAACTGCGTGAATAAAATGTATGTGAATAAAAGCCTAAATTCAATCTGTTCATCATATAAAGCGATCGAGTCTCTTCAGAAAATTTGGACTAAACCGCTCAATTCATATGAATTATTTTTTAGTGTCAAAGTGGTAGTTGCGTAGCTGTCAATGGAGGGACAGAAACTCTCAGATTTCATCAAAAAGATCTTCATTTGTGTTCTGAAGATGAACGAAAGTCTTACGGGTTTGGAACGACACGAGGGAGAGTAATTAATGATTTTTGGGTGAACTATCCCTTTAAGTTTTGGAGTAATTGGGAGTATTGTATTACTATAGCACTTACTTCAGAAACATTTGACAGCAACAAGGCACAAGAACAGTTCATACCCAAAGACGCTCTCACACACACACATTAAATATCTGGGGCATTTTTGTCAATTTCACTGTCATTTTGGCCTGGAGCCCTGGTTAATTTCTGACCCTGCTGTGGCGCTTCAGACGTGTGATGCTGTCCGTGAGGAGGAGGAGGAGGAGGAAGAGGACATGAAAAGGAAACGAGAGAATAAAGTGAGAGCGATTCGTTAAATTATAGAGAGGGAAGGACATATAAATGTGTGGGAGCCGGAGAACGAGAAGGAAAGCTTTCATTAATAAATGCTCACATGTGATTTGTCATCGAACTGCAGTTAGTGTATGGAGCTGAGACACATCCCACTGCTCCTGACGGCATGTGCCTGTTTGCCCATGTCGTGTTCCTGGCAGAACACTTCCAATGCTTTATGTAACGTTGGCTGGTGCTTTTCTCTCCCGAGCTGGAGTCTGTTCTATCACTTTTCTCTCTCTCTCTCTCATTGTCTTCAGATGGACTCCCACCTTGCATGCTCCTCCTAAACACTATATGACCTCAGTCCCAGCAGACCTACTGTATGAGTGAGTCAGAAAGGTACGGAGAGAAAGAGAGAGAGTTGAAGAGAGAAATTAGCGCAGTGCCTGCTTTTGTGTGGGTTGAGATGGAAATGGTGCACTGGTCTTTGGATGTGCTGTTATTAAAGACCATATATACAGTGATTTCAGTCAGGATTCCTGTTCTGTGAGGCTTATGTTATGTTTCCTTTTCTGTCAAACTATAGGGGATAAATATCTTTTCTTGTTTAATTTTAGCTTTTAATTGTTCCTTTCTTTCTACAGTCAACTAAAATAAGGTAAAATGTAGTACTTTATTTTGAAATGTTGGGAAACTTTGTATTATATCGAGAAATAAAGTAGTGGATCAATTTAAGGCCCGTTCACACATAATAACTGTACCTATAACGATATATAAATATATAATTCTAAAAATCGCTCTGAAGTAAAAGAATAGCATCGTTCACACCACAGCACAGAGAAACAATATCTTTGGAATCTTTTTCAGAACCATTTTTCCAGCTTATGAACTGATTAAAACATCGAAAGCCAATCAGAATCCATCCTGCTTTAACGAACTTGAGCATTTAAAGTGGCAGACGACAAAACTGCTTATAATAAACAGAACGGCAGACCCTAATATAGTTATTGTTGTCTTTATAGTTATCGTTCTTGGTGTGACATCCTCAAGAGAAATAGCCAAAAGAGTCATTTGACATCAAGTAAATATATATGGCTGCACACATACAGCTATAAAACAAATGTAGAGCTTACAGGTGAAACTCGAAAAATTTGAATATGGTGCAAAAGTTCATTTATTTCAGTAATTCAACTTAAACGGTGAAACTAATAGACTCATTACATGCAAAGTGAGATATTTCAAGCCTTTATTTGTTATCATTTTGATGATTATGGCTTACAGCTTATGGAAACCCCAAAGTCAAAATTAGAATATTGTGAAAAGGTTTTCATAAGCTGTAAGCCATAATCATCAAAATTATAACAAATAAAGGCTTGAAATATCTCACTTTGCATGTAATGAGTCTATATAATATATTAGTTTCACCTTTTAAGTTGAATTACTGAAATAAATTAACTTCATAGAGAGTTCATAAATCTTAGACTATCTCTTTGCAAATCTGAGGACAGTTTAAGACATTGTTGAGATATTTTCTAAAACTCTAAATGAGACTTTACTGATTTCTGGGCCATGATTATTACAGTTTTTCTTCTCTATGGAGACATATCTGGAAATTCTAAATTCTATATTTGCATTGCAATCTGATTGCTGTCCAGGAAAAACAAACGACTGCATTAGATTTTAGGATGTCCAGAAAGTTTACTCCGGACACACATTAGTCTCAAAATAGATTCTGGACACCAAAATGATGTTCTTGCCTCAACCGTGGCCTTTTCAAACATCTAGTATTAATATTTAAATGAATGGTTCATATTCATAACCAGCATACATTTTAATGAGCATTAAGTCTGTATGAACCACAGAATACAATTTGCTTTGTTTATTATGCTAACAATTAAATCATTTGCACTGTAGCCAAATGGCTAATTTAAAGCACTTAGCACCTAGCAAGTGTACTAACTGTATATGCTGATCATTCCCTCTTGAAGTTTTCTTAATTACTAACATTCTCTTACTTAAATTAACAACGTAACCCAGTGTTTTTAATCACTATTTCTTTGTTTATCTTAATTAAACGGATAGTTCTGAAAATTCTGTCATCATTTACTCACCGTCAAGTTGTTCCAAACCTGTATGAATTTCTTTCTTATGTTGAACACAAAAGAAGATTTTTTTAAGAAAGATAATGGGCCCCATTGACTTCCATAGTATGGAAGAAAAATACTCTGGATGTCAGTGAGGTCCATCAACTGTTTGGTTACCGACATTCTTCAAAAAATCTTCTTTTGTGTTCAGGAGAAGAAAAAATTCATAGATGTTTGGAACAACTTGTCTTGAGGATGAATAATCTATGATTTTTGGGTGAACTGTCCCTTTAAGGGATGGTCACAGTGCACTTTTAGTTCCGCCCCTTTATTCTGTATTTTTAAGCCAAACTAATCAATAAACAAGGTATAGCTATTGTACTTCAAATCTTAAAAATACGTTTGAAAAAAACTGTACTTGCTGATAATATAATATTAATGAAATAAAAGGCCACTTAAGTGTACTTAAAGAGAGTAAACTTTCATGCCTCTTTCTTAACACGCTTTTAAAAAGTGCACGTTGCAATAATGTCAAATAAAAAGTTTTACTTTAAAGTAATCATTTTTAAATCATTTTGTTTTCATGCTTTAAATAAGTGTTATTTGATATAACATTTAAAGTTACATATTTTAAATGTGCAACATCATTACAAATGTAAAATGTTTGAAAGGTGTCATTATATATGCCATTTCTATTAAAACTTGTGTCATGTATTTAAATATAGCCTATTATTTAACTGCATGACACAAGTTTCAATAGAAATGAGATGATATAGATATAAAGATACATTACATAATTAAGTCCTGATCAAACAGCACTCTTAAGTTTAACTAATTGCATTTCATATACATTTAAACTATTATACTCATATTCATTTAATTGTAAATAACATGGATTTAAAGGGTTAGTTCACCCAAAAATGAAAGTTCTGTCAGTAATTACTCTCCCTCATGTTGTTCCAACCCCGTAAGACTTTCGTTCATTTTCGGAAAACAAATTAAGATATTTTTTATTAAATCTGAGAGCTGGATCACTCCTCCATAGGCTTCTAAGGGATTGAAACTGGCCGGCCTAAAAGTTATTAAAGACATCGTTAAAATACTCCGAGTGACTACAGTGGCTCAACCTTAAGTTTATCAAGCGACGAGAATACTTTTTGTGCGCAAAAAACAAACAAAAATAACGACTTTATTCAACTAATCAT